CCCGCCACCTTAGCTGTATGTGGCTGGCGCCTTAGCCGCTCAAGCCACAGGCGCCGAGCCATGTAAATGTTTTATTTATTTTTTTTTTTTGAGACAGAGTCTCACTATGTCACCCTTGGTAGAGTGCTACAGGCATCACAGCTCACAGCAACCTCCAACTTCTGGGCTTAAGTGATTCTCTTGCCTCAGCCTCCTGAGTAGCTGGGACATTAGGCCCACACCACAGCAACCAGCTACGTTTTGGTTGCAGTTGTCATTGTTGTTTAGCAGGCCCAAGCTGGGCTCGAACCCGCCAGCCCTGGTGTATGTGGCTGGCACCCTACTCACTGAGCTATGGCGCTGAGCCGACACATGTAAGTGTTCACACACCTGATCCTTGTGCACACACACAACCCATGAAGTTGTTGCTGTGACTACCCCAGCATCAAATGAGGAAAGCAAGCCACAAAGAGGTCTCAATAACTATCTAGGATCTGCATCCTTAGCACCACCTGCCAACCAGCCCAGCTCCAAAACCCACAGGTCTGTCTGTGGTGCACAGCCGGGTCAGCACAGCAGCACCCAGAGAGAGCCCCAGCATTCTCACAGTGTCAAGCCCCTCCCCCAAGCCTCCTTGTTCCCCTCCCCAGAAGGACCACAGAGGCTGGGTACACACTGTTGGACATCCCCGGTTAGCTTTTCCTATAGCAATTTTATGTGACTGTTTTTAGCTCCCCTAAATATTATTACTGTGCAGCACCAATAAAATGTCTAATTGCACTATGGTAAACCAGCCATGGAAATATAAAAGTAATTATAACTCAGCACGCACAGTCCCCATTTTCCCCTCATGAGGATAAGGCTACATGGCTCAGCCAGCCCTCCAGGCAGGGGTTTCCTCACTTCAGAGGCAGGGGACTGTGGGAGGCTCTGCCCTTGAAACCTCACCAGCTCACACCCAGCGCCTACACTGTCCCTTTGCCCAGGTCATAGGCTGGACAGGAGCTGGTATAGAAGGCCCTAGGGCAGCCCCTGCAGTGGCCTGGTATGGTGACTGTGTCTAATTGTCCTTTCAGCCAACATGGTGGGAGCAGGACTCTGACCTATCCTGTCTCCCTCACCCAGCGAATCCAAGGTTGTCGACCCTACTCCATACATGCTGAGGGGATGTGGCAGTCCTGGCAGTCCTCACTGACACCTCAGTTGCTGCAGAAGCATCTGGAATACTTTCCTGCAGGCTCACAGCGCTCTCTGACAAGGGACTGCAACTGGGAGTTGGAAGTTAGGCCACCAGCATGACTGCAGGCTTCCTGGTGCTGGCCGAGGTTCCTAGGCACCCACCAATGGCACGTAGGCTGCCACTGAAGAAGCCAGGGTCTGCAGCAGGCTGTGCACCCAAGGTACCTAACAGTCACTGTCTTGTTTCCTTGGCAGATCACTGAGCACCTGCCCACCTGCCAGGGTTCTGTGGGAAGATCTCTGTGAGGACAGTGAGGGTCACTTGGAGATAAACTAGACAAGAGCTGATGCAGACAGGTGCCTAGGCAGGTGAGAATCTTGAGGCAGGGAGCAGGGGGGCCTGGATGAGAGGAAGGAGCACAGCCATCTG